CTGTTATGTATATAATTACAGTGCTTTTGTATAGTTATTTCCGTATTTTAAGAAGAAGAAATGGATTGCAAAGACAAGATTGAGATGTATTGTATTTTACGATACGGGGACTTAAAATTAAGCGTCATGATTGCTGATTTTAAGGAACAGGAAAAAAAGAAAACGATGTGCTAGTAACTGCAACTTTTGTTTTTTCTAAAGCTAAAATTGCAAAAATTGTCATAGTGTTGTTTTATTGAATGAAACGAGATACTTCTCCCCCAGTTACTTCCTCCAAAATATACCATGAACAGAATATAATCTTAATAGCTGAATCTCTGCTGTCTCTGGAACTTTTGAAGGCATTTTTGTGGCGTGTCTTGTGCGTGTATTTCCTAGGCTGTCTTTTCTCTCAGAGGAAAAAAAAAATTCATTTTTTGCTTATGAAAGCTTACCTGACTCAAACTGGGTGTGCTTTAGTGCTAAGATACGTAACTTGTTAGGCATCCATGGAGCAGCTTCTAGCAGCATTTCTGTGAATAACTCACAGTTCTGGGAGGGCTGAAGTGTAACTATGCAGATTGCAAGTGAAGGGAATGTTTCTTAATTTTTGACAATTTTTTTTTGTTTTCTCAAGGGCTTACTGTTGGCTCTTGTTGGGGGAAAAAAATGAATGTTGGAAAAAATGAAATGTTGGAATGTTGCTGGTGGTGGCTGGAAGAGTGAATACTCCCTATTATACTCCTGTAGCGTTTCTGTACCCTGCACCAGGGAGCCGAGACTGGACTTGGAGAAATGTAGCCTGTGGAAGTGCAGCCCTCGCAGGGGCAGGAAGGGAAAGGGGGACTGCATCTTGACTTGGCTTATTTTTTTCCATATCGAAAGAGCCCTGACCGCTGCTCAGGGGGGAGGAAATAACGTTCCGTGCATCGTTACCAAGCCTACACTACAGCAGAGCAAGCCCCTGCCTTCTCCCCATCGTCTGGGGGCGGCTGTCCAGTGCCTTTCCTCAGGCCAGACCGAACCCGCCCCGGAGGCCGGCGCGGGCAGGGGGCGAGGTCCGCGCTCCG